GCCCATGAAAGCCAGCGCTGGCCGGCTTCGATCTGTTTGGACAGTTTTCGTTTACATTGATTCCACCGAGCCGCATCCGGAGCATTCGAGTCTATCAGACCACTCTTGGTCATGGCCTGGCCTTTGTAGTGATCAGGGAAAGCCGTGTCCCAGATGTGTTCGATCATTGAGCAATACGCCTTAGCCTTGTCGACCTTTGTAGGGGGCCTTCGTCTTGAAATCCATGCGTCTTCATCGTTGGTCACGAGCCGACCCGCATTTGCTGTTGTGCTGCGATACAATTTCGCCAACCTAGCCAGTGCGAATCTTCGCATGTAGCCGTACATTTCACCGGCTGTATCGATGGCCGTTAGGGTCCTGACCAGCCTTTGAGGCTCATTGCTAAAGACATCAGCCGTCGACGGGGCTCCGCCTTGTTGTACAGCGACCATAGCTCGTTTCAGAGCGCCGAATCCATGACTGTTGCCGACGGCCAAAACCATTGTCACAAGGATGTTTACACGGTGTGGACTGACACCCTGTGGATATGCACTATTCGCAAATGACAGCCCTGGTCGTCGACAAAATCGGTCCCACAGGCGAATCGCTTTGATTGTTCCTGTCGTATGAGCTACGTGAGACGTATGCGGCTCTCTTTTCATGTCCCACTCTTCCCAGTAGGATTGGTCGGTTGGTGATCCTGTTGTGGCGCTCGCAGCCGACTGCAGTTGAGTTGTCGACGTAGAACCAGTACCTCTTGGTTTCTTGGTGGGCGTTTCAGGGCCAACAGTGTGAATCGAGCGCTTATTAGATGACCGTACTACATGCTTCATCCTGGCACGGCTGCTGTCAGAAAGTCCTTCGGGAACTTTCACATTGTTTGTCTGGACATCATCTCGGCCTCGCTTGTCCTTCCTTACTCGTCGCTCGTCTTCCACCTGCGTCTCAACAGTAACATTGTTGTTGGCATTGCGATTATTTGTACCATTCTCAGATATGTTCCCTATTTCGGAGATATCAACCACTTCTTCACTGTCCCCATTCTCATAGTCCGTCCTCAAACCGACTTGCTTTTGTGCCGAAAAGCCCTCCCCGGTCTGGCTAAGACCATGATGTTCTTCGTCTATCTCGAGGATCTCACCATTCCCTCCTTCGTTCTGGTCCATGTCATGTCTGTCTTCCTGTCTCCTTTCGACATATGATGTTGGCTCGAAAGAACAGGTAGAACGAGGAGTCTGGCTGCGATAAATCCTCTTTGACCCTTCACATTCGGAAATGAGGCCCGTTTTGGTACGATGTGTTCTAATGTCATCATCAAGAAACCGTGGAACATTCTCAATGCCAGGTCCTCGCGACTGTTGATCTTCTATTGTCGCACCGCTGCTCTCTGCCGGAACTGATCCGACCAAACAATGTGACCGCAGCTGCTTCCTAGTGTTGATAGAAAAGTTTTCCACATTTGGAGATTCAAGTTCATTGCTCGACACTCCAACAGAACTTCTCGGTCGATAACATCCCGATCCGTCTAAGCTCCCCAATACTGTAGACCTCTGTCGCTCGTCCTCTGATCGTGGTCCAACATCAGAAACGGATGCAATGGCTTCCAAGAATGCTTGGATATCCGCATAGAGTTTCTTGATGAACGGCTTCCAGTTTGGATGGTCTCGGCATTCCTGAGTCGCAAAATCGTCCAGACATGAGCCTGGACACACAGCGTTCGGGCAGGAAGCCACGGCGAGAATCATTTTGATGGCGCCGCATATTGCATGATCCTTGCAGGATGCAGAATTCATTTTGTCTTTTGATGAGACACGCGGTGATTCTCTGCGATGTGCCTCGATTTGAAGTTATGCGTGTTAACCTCTTGGGATGACGGTGCCTGCAGGGTAAATACCGCCTAGAATTAACCTGTCCCCCGAATTGTTCATGGTAAGCACGTGATCGAAATAGTGCATATCACGTGTCGCCAATTGCATTCGCTTCCAGCCCAGTTGACATTTGCCTCCCAGCCTGCATTGTTCACCTTTTTTCTCCACGGTGATCGAACATCATCGAATTTTCCGCCAACAGCTCCCGACTGATGTTCCGAAAACTTGGCATACTCAATGGTCAGGAGACAACATCAACCTTTGTCCGCGTTTGTGTTTAACCCTGGTGAGCCAACATGATGAGCCTGTACTTTGCACAAAAGATCAAGAAACGCGTATTGTGTGTCGTTTCCAAAGAACTCAATGACACTGATCAAATAATTCTCTCGGAAGTTGCTGCAGTAGACACTATATGGGAAATAGACGATGAAACGACACCTTGGGAGCTCTCTCACCGCAATGTGAGTATCCAGGAACACATAATCATGTTTTCAGCCATTTCATCGGGAAACTTCTCTTTGACGCATCTCCTTTGCCATCTCCGTTCTCCAGGCCTTCTTGACCTTGCTGTCCGCAACAAGGATACTCTTCCTAAAGGCTTCCAAGGGATGTAGAGGTGGTTTCGTCTGAAGTGGTGCTGCTGGTTCGATGCCGACCTGGGAGAACATGTGGGTCGTCTAGTACAAGCTCGGGGCTTGCATTGAGTGCGCACTTACGATCGGATGTCTCTTCTTGCGACCACATCAACACACTGTTCGACTTAAAGTCGGGGTCTTCGGGACCTGTTGGCTGTGTTGCCTCATTGGAAGTTGCCCTACTGGGGCTTCGCAACCTCGAGTGGTAGTCGTAAGGTCGTAGGTACTGTCAGCAGAGTCTGAAGCCCCTTTCTTTGAAAATACAGTTACTCCAGGAGTATCGATGAGGATCCTTCTATAGACTCGGCAAACGGTTTGTAGTTGATCCAGAGCTAACAAACCAGGTCAGGGAGTTGGGGAACCCTCTCGATATGGAATTGACGATTTGATCAAACGTATGGTCGATCCACGCCCTTTTGCCATCCTCGAATGTCACTGATGGGAGAACGCACTTCTAGTTTGAGGAGGTTACAGCGGCGACGGTCACTCGGCAGAAGAGAGGTTGCCTCCGTTGACGGTTGATGGGTTGTTTGTCCTTTTCGGGACTCCTTATGATACTGCTGTGGGACCGCCATATTTCTCATATTTCTTCGAAGAACAGCAATTAATCAACTGGAGGGCAGACATGAATATAGATAAGAACGCAGTTGAGAAAATATTGTAGCTAAGGGCAAACTTCTACACACAAGGTCCATTTTCGACATGTAACTTTGGGGGACAGATGACTGCGAAAGGTGCATCATCATCCCCAAACACCCTCCAAACAAGGGCTTGCACCCCTCTTCCAGCCTTTTTTTTCATCGAGGCCTGACAGGCAGCTGTTTCAAGCCTCTGCTCTAGCCCAATGAGATGGGTGTCCAACCTCTAAGGGTGGTCGCCGGAACGGTCGCAGCGCAGGCATCAACTCTAACCAGCCTCCCGACCTGTGTGCTGTTTAAACTAGTGCGGACAAAGTGCCAAGGTTTCGAGAGTGGTGTTTAATGAATCCCTGTTGTTTTTGCGGCTGATATGGTTGGCGTTTCACTTTCGCGTAAGGGACGAGTGCCTACGAAGTCCGTGTAGGGTGGTACTCCGTAATGAGTAGTGTGCTGCAATAAATGGACGATGCCCCCACACTTTTCACACAGGTCCGCAATCAGATTGTTCCCTCTTCCAGCGAATACCTGTGGCTGTGGGTGGAGGAGCTTAATCATGCCCACGCAACAAATCTTGCTCAATCCAACATCTCAACTACCTTCTACCACAGCCCCTTGTTCACACTAGTCTGTAGAAAAGGTCGAATGCTAATGCCAACCCCTGCCTTACTATGCGGACTGAAAACTATAGCTCTGTGATTGAACGAAACAAAAAGGGTCAAAAATTAAAAATCAAAAACAATGCAAATGAAATACGGTAGGGATCCATTTCAGATCTTACAAGCCGCGTGATCTGGCCTGAGTATTTTCAATTCGAGCTCTCTAACAGAATCTTTATTTCTGTAGCAAGACTTTACACAAGGTCAAAGCAAAACACCAGACCCGAGCATGATAAACTACGATTCAATCGGCCCCCTTGGACACCTCGTTTCAGAGGAGATAATACAAAGCATACTAGCTCGTGACGCACTTCTTCATCCATCGTACGGAGTGATCATGCGATTCTTCTCCTTCTCCACCTTTTTTCTCCTCCCAAACGCTCGTCTCATCCAAGAGTTCACAACGATGCTTCAACGGGAGCCAATCTCCGTAGGTTATCGCCGTAGGCCTTGAGGGATTCGGGTGACTGCCTTGGGCCCTGCGCCAAGTGACACTCATGTAATGGAGACAAACATTCGTTGCCAGTGGCGGAATAATCACGGCAATGCCTTGAAACATCTTGCAAACAGCGAAACAGACCGAAAGGCAAAGAGAGCAAGAGTCAAAGGATTGGCTGAGACTAGCTGCCGACTGTGTGAAGATCTAGGATTACGCGCTCACAAGACTCACCTGTGCCCCATTGCAAGAACCATATGGCAAGGTGGAATTGATGACAAGGTGGCTTAGCGCCAGAAGAAAATGGACAGTTGCATGAGTCGTCGTTGTGCATCTTCCTCAATACATCACAAACTTATAGGGCCAATCAAGTTGATATCGGCGGCCCGATAAGCAACTCAGGGTGACATCGGTCAAGAAATTGAAACAACAAATCCTGAGGTATGTATAAGAAGCTGGCATCATACCATTGTGTGCCTATCACTCTTCACTTGGAACTCTTCACTTGGAACTCTTCAAAGATCATTTGAGTTGCATACCGTGTGTCCGAAAGTGTCCTGCCAGTCGCGATTACACAATTTCACACCCAAGAGAACGAAACAACCAAAATAACATGAATTCCTCTCACAACACGAACGGTAGAAAGAGATGCTATTACCAACATTACTGGATCAAGGCGAGCTTTGCGAGGGTAGAGGAAACCAGGCGCCAGTTGCCTGGAATCGAAGAAATTGATCAGGACGTTGGGAAATGTTTGATAAGATACATCGGAGATAAAGAGGATCTAAAACGTTACTTTGGTCGAGATTCAGTGCAACAACGTGAAATCGAAGACGACGATGAGGAGGCTCTATACATGAAGCAGGTCACCCCATCACTTCAGTCAAAGCAGGGTGATCGGCAGGAAACCATGCAGTGAGCGCTTCCGAGTTGAATGCTAGATGGGAAAAGTGGATTGGCCTTGATTCACGCTTTCAAAGGTCGAGCGACCGATATCTCGCGCTTTTAAAAATTCGACACTTGGACCAAGTGCAACCCGAAAACAAGGACTAAGTCTTGCTCACAAGCAGAAGTTGCTATACTTGTCTATCAGGAAATCAAGCTTTTTCGGTCCAGAAGTGGAATGTACCTCGAATGTATTCTAAGCCACCTTTCTGAGTTCTGTTACGCTGCGCAGTGGGATGCTCAAATCAAACCTGATCCAAGACCTGAGGCATTTCGGCATACTATTGCCGATCTAACCAGACTTGCCACTGATGGTTTCCAGAGACCATGGATGCATAATGTGTCGTTCTCGAAATGTGAAATCCCGTCAAAGAATGACATTGTAGGCACCAACCAGTAAGACTCATTGGACAAAGAGCGATCAAGTTTCGTGCACTGCGCAGAAGTTAGCATATATTATGGTTGCTTGCATGATCGAATCATTTGCGGCCAGAACAGGAAATGCCATTGTTGCTGATATTTCAGGGTTGAAGAAGCTTTATTTGTCATACATCACTCGAGGATAAAGCTATCTGAGAACTACATTAAGGTACAGAAATCCTATTGTTGCGGAGCCGTCTGGCTAATTGCATATCCTTGGACTGTATGGTGACTCGCTTGGCATGAATGGTACACCAGTTCGTGTCTTCAAAAAGCGACACCAAATAATTTTCAGCAGCTTCCTGAAGGGCGCCCAGGGCTGATGATTGAAACCTGAGATCCGAGTTGAAACTCTGGGCGATTTCTCGGACAAGGCGTTGAAAAGGAAGTTTCCTAATCAGCAGATCGGTGGATTTCTGACCACGTATCAGTCAGACTCAACCGATGAAGGCACTCACGACTGACCTGATAACGTCGTATCTCTCGCAGAGCAACCGTTCCCGGTCTATACCGACGAGCTCTTTTCACTGTGCACGATTAGCATCACCGATGGAGGAACTCAGGACAGGAATAAAAACCTGCCACCTCCGGTTGTAGGAACAGTAGCACGCGCTTTCAATGACTTTCGTGCTGTTTTGGTGTGAAGGGCTTGACGGGGTTGTTTGCCACCTGTAGAGAGACGTGCCTAGAAAGTAAGTAACATAGCTTTATTCCTCAAGAGCATACACTTACAGTCTGCTTCGCGCGCGCCATATTTCAGTTGTAGAACCACTTAACGGATTGGAAAGAAAAGAAAGTGGCCATGTGGGACAGTGAAAGATTGATAGGATTTTATTATCTACCAGACACGCCTTAGTAGATTCCTGCAAGTGGTCCATTTTGACGCGTGCCTGCCGGCCTCACCATCTCATAGAAGTCGGGCCAGTTATTACTGTGAAGAGGCTGCACTCCTAGGATCCAAACAATTCGTTATCGATGCCATCGATACGCTATCACGCCAGCATTCTTCTGTCGGCCTCTTAGATAGGTGTCGGGAGCCGATACTACGGTGAGAGGTGCAGCTAAGATTGACCAGCCACCGACCTACCTTTCGGAGCCTCCTGTCTCCTGACTGCTGCCTGCGAAATGATTGGTGTTGGTCTTCTATCTCAGAATTCGACCTGCCACCCTCCAAATTCAAGGTCGCATCTGTTCCTGAAAGGGATGGCCAGGCTGAAATGATTGGATATCATTGTCTCTGGCCGTCTCACCGGTTTCGCAGGCTATTCTACGCGATGTCATAAAAGTGACTAATGACTTTAGTTTCGAGATGTCCATTGCGTAAAGGGGAAGACTACTCCACCCACCTTTATTTTCAGTCTGTCGAGGCTATCGAGACTGTACAGGGACTGCTGCATAGGTTGCTCCCTGGAAGGTTCCTCTGGTATGTTCCTGTGTTACTAGGAACGGCTGCTTCCAAAAGACAAAAACTGCTTCGACCTCCCTGACAAAAATGTATTGGTGGCATAGCTTCAATAAGTTCGCTTCCAACTATGTCGGCTTCCCGCCTTCCGTCCACCAAGAATACCGTCCTCGGACAGAGTCAGCTCTGCAAACTTTGCGGCAATGTCCATCAAAAATGGCAATGTCCAACCGATGCCAACTCTTTCCGTCCATGTTGTGGATCCTACAAAAACAGACCCCATATGTCAAAGCGAACCCCGGAAACGATAGTCGCATGCAACAAGGCGGATGAAGCTACATCTCGAACGGCAGGTCAAAAAGTTGGGTTAGACAAGAGCCCTAAGTTCGATATGAGACCTTGAACAAATGCCACGCTAGAGTGGGTAGAAGAGTCGATCCATGCAGGCGAAAGATTTGAGACACTGGATGTTTGTGTGGTGAGCCTTGGCTTCTTATACCGATCAAATGTTGGTGGATTCCTCGTTAACCAGGCTCTGCCAAGGGGATCATGGAACTGCAAACTGAGGAGGAGGAAGCAGATTATGATGCGCGGTTGCTCTACAAGGTTCTGGAACTCTCTTGCGAGTGAAGCTGTGCCTCGTGTTGAAGCTCTCTCACAATCTCTTTTTGTAGCTGCTCAACTTGAAAAGGATTGAGTCCTAGAGATGAATTGAATGACTGCACGATAGACACTGTATGCGAGGAGTTTCGGTTGATTGATTGATTGATTGATTTTCATACGCCCAGGCGGGCTGAGCCCAATGGGGACTAGCTACTTCTACACGCGAACGTCCCGATTCATGGTACTTCCTGCTGTTGGTCCTTCGGCGGCATACGACCCTCGCGGCTGCTGTGGTCCTCTTACGAGCTACACACTTCGCCCTCAAGCCAGTTCTTCTGTAGTGTTGCTGTTCTTTCGTCGGCATAGGAACTGTCGGGTGTCGGCTCGTTCAATTCTCAAATCGGGATCAGCTCCTTTGTTCAGGGTCGAGCTTCAGTCGACTCCACTCTTTCGGTGGCGCGACCACAGCTAGAAGAGAAAGGGAACACTTAGTGTGGTTGTAGCGGCGCGAAGAGAATTGAATTGACTAACTACAAGTGAAAGAGAGGCTGGCCGCTATATATACGTAAAAGTATGTAAGCAAATGTAGCGGTCGGGAACAAGTATCTCCGACCCCTCACGCTAGAATCACATTAGCTCCATGACACGTGATGTGCCGTTGCAGGAAGAATGTAAGTCACGTGAAGATTTCCCGGCGTGGTTGTAGCGGCGAGAAGAGAATCACCTAAACCACTGTAGCAGTCGGGAGTAATTAATTGGTCAATTGATCCCGAAACATGGCTGGCACGCATGATGCAGTGAAGCTATGCAAACATATCTATCTCAAGTTGTCTTCGAACATTGTAATCCTCCATGATGCGTTCGACCAAAGTTTCCTTCATGTAGAGCTCCGAAATGAATACGAATAATGTGAATATTCACGAATAAATACGAATATGAATAAGTCTTGGCGAATAAATGCGAATATGAATATGGGCTCTATTCATATTCGCAGTATTCGTGAATATTCACGAATATTCACATAAGTGGGCCACTCCAAAGAGTTGGGCCGCTCCCCATATTCCTGGATGGAAAACAACCCGTTTCAGGTGGGCTTGACCACCTAAATCTGCACCTCCCTTTCGCACCTCCTAACTGCATCAAATTAATGGAGATTAGATACTTAATAGATTGCAAAGTGGCTGCGGGACACGACATAAGCTTCTTTGGGTATATTCAAACATTGATCAGCTTGCAAGGAATCAAGATCAATGTCATCGCTGATGATCGGAACGGATTAACTGTCCGCCGAACCACAAGTGAATAATGTGAATACGAATATGAATAATGCCCATATTCGCATGAATAAATATTCACTTTATTCATATTCACATAGGCGAATATGAATACGGGTCATATTCGTATTCATTTATTCATTTCGGAGCCCTACCTTCATGGTATCTTCCGAAGAGAATGACGAAGCCCAAATTTTGGCCAAGATATCAATTTTGTGTTCATGAATCCATTCTTTGCCTTGCAAGAGTTCCTTTCTCGTGAACCATTCAGTCACGTAAGTAAGCAATTGTGCCTGGGGTTGGTGATCCAAGAAGTCCTTGTAGCATACACGGAGCAGAATCCAGTTGTGAGCTCTAGAACAGAATTGACAAAGTTCGTATGTTCTCTTTTGAGACGTCACTGCCCATATAAGACTTGGTGCGCATCGCCGGTGGACATTATGAAGGCAGGGAGTCCTTGCAAAAGTTTCTGAGGGTCTAATCTCCTTGGGACAAACGCCACACGGAGTCGACACCGAGGCCAAACACATCTAGGATCACCGTTAGAAGGAGAGTCTGGGCTGATGGCAATCATAATACCCTAACTAACTGCCTGGCGCCCTCAATTCGACCTGGTTTGGCAGTCAATGGATTCACATTGCCCCCATCTGCCACACCGTCCTCTTCCTGAATTGGTTCAAGCCTCGCAATCGACCTCTTCTTTTTTCTAGCCGCTGCTAACTTTGCCGTAGGAGACCTCGTAGACATGCTCACAGGAACGTTATTTGGAGTTAAAGACAAAAGAAGCTACGATATAGACTGTATGGAAACTGAGAATATGTGAGTGGGGCTCTACCCAGCCTCGTTTCAGTCCTCATATTCGCCTGGATCCAACCTCACGATTTCTCATTCTCGTTAACAGCAGGCTAATGAGAAAACGCGGTGCAAGTGAGGAAATTTGCACAAAATCTTCCACCCACCGGGTTGCATACGAGGAAAATCAACCCAACTGGACGCTTGTCATTTTTTTTTTAGGTTTTCGAATTTCGAATTCAGGAGCAACAATCTGAGTTTAGCACAGAAGCAAACCCACGAAAATCGTCAATTGATATCCAACTGTTCAGCATCATGGGCAAAAGGCTATATGGTTGTGCTATATGTGGTCAAGTAGATTACCCGGTTTTTCAGGAAGGCTGGCAACGAAGATTTCCAACCACGAAATTTACTCTGGATGTAGAGAAATACTGCATCTATGACACCTGCTAAGCAGGAACTATCTGGCCTTCATCTTTCCGACTTCAAAAGTGGCCGTGTAAAAGTGCTTCCCGCCGGGCCGAAGGTTATTTGCGCCTTCTTTGATACTTGATCGTCTTCTCGCAGTTCATGTCGAAACGATTGGTCCAAAGTCGAATCTGGCTCATTATCCGTTCAGTTGACTCCAGAAGGCGATCCCTACCGAAGAGTGTGTTAACGAACTCCATTGCTCCGTCCTTGCCCATCTTGCCTGCGCCGTGACGCTTTATACTCTTCAGCATAGGTCTTTCGCAAACTCTGATGAGATTTTTGAACTTGTTCCACAGCACATGACCTCCTTCAAGGAAGGACTCGACATCCTCAAGTCCTTTTAGTGTAGAGCTGCGACCGACACACTCTTCGGCTTTTTTCATCTTGCCCGCAAGTTTGATTAGAAGTAGCCACAACTCCCCCGCCATATCAGCCATTGGTGTAGAGGCACCGAAATGGACTACCGTCCAGTCATAGATCCACTTGCCTAGCGAGTTGGCGTCGAAGACACTTCCCAATAGAATAACAGGCAGCTCCATGGGATCCCAGTGCTTGAGGGAATACCCTGCGGGAATTCCGGCCCGGACAGCATCTGCTTCCGTGGCGGGCATTGTTGGTGAAGACTGCGGAGAGTGGGAAGTGCTGTATCGATATAATTGCTCATCGATAGTATCCTCGAGTTCATGACGAGGACCTGACATCGTACGAAAGTCAACCCTTCGATGTCCGTAGCCGTTCCTACGAGCTTCATCGTCGTCATCGTCGTCATCGTAGATATGGACATAATTCTTCGACCGAGGAGGTGAGGTGTATCCCAAGCCGTGAAATCCGTCGTTGCTATCTGGATCACCGGCTCCGTCCTTAGATTGATATGCAAACATCCTCTCTCTTTTCATACCACAAGTTTCAGGCGGAGGCGAGGACTCTACTCTGAATAGCCTTTCTTTGTCTTTAGCCAAGAAAGAGTTGTGAGTCGTCCGATATGGGCCCGTTGTCTCGTTCTCCTGTGAATGGCGGGCATGGCACGAGGTAAAGTAGAAAGTGCCATGCAATATCACGTTGGGACAGCAATTCATACTGGTCGAGTATGCTTGAACGGCGTTACAAGACAGCACAAAAGGCTAGCTGCTATTGTTGTCGAGCACTTTTGGTAGCACGTGGCAGGCCCAAGTGAATTTAAAAGAGATTTCGAAAGCTTGAAGGCAAGGCGAGGAGAAAAACAACTGGCTTATTCTCCCAGGGTCACTTTTGATCCCTCCCAACCTCTTCCATTTTTATACTCCTGGGTGCGCGGCCTAAACCACCAGCTTAGATATGTTGTGTTACATCCAAAACGCTAGCACGATCTGTTGATTCGATGCGAATGTAGGCAAATGAGTAGGGTCAAAGTATTCTGTCTGTGACACCGACGCCAGGACCTACAGGTCATCTCCTCTCCCATTGCTACCGGGTAACATAAACAGGGCCGAGTCTTGGAGTCCGAGAGCCAACTCTTTGAACTGCCTAGTTGGCATTTGAAACCATTGCAGTTGCCACGAGCGTGTACTGAGTGGCGACATTATGTTCTCACGCAGCCATCTCAGTCTTGTAACTAGCTGCGCATTATCGGCATCTGCCAGGAGGTATGGAGCAGCTACCAGAAAAAGGTAAGTGATTTTACATTAGCCGGTGTCACAATGCCATACCATTGTCTGTTATCTCGTTTTCGTGAACATCAATATGATCACAAGGCATAGACAGCATTTTATCCGGAGTTTGGATTTTGATTGCCATAGAGAGCTACGTGGAGACCCCTCCAAAAAGTATGTCACGACTAAAGAGGACATCTTTGCGAACCGCTTTCAGGACGACATCTTAAGCTCAGGCTTGTTGTATCGATTGTATCGTGGCGGAGGGCTGTCGTCAACGACCTTGGGCTGAAGAGGAATTTCGAACTTCGCACGGACGCATGTACGGCCTGCCCGGCGTAATTGCGCTTTGGGAGCTCGAGAACTTTCCACTTTGCTAGGGCTTCGAAACTCTCTGACCTGTTTCGCACCAGCCTCTACATCGCGTCGAAGGTTTTCCCTGATCTCTTCATATAATTGCCCTTTTGACTCAATTTCATCTTCGTGGTCCCGCCTGATTCCATGCTGGGTAAAAGGGTTCATATTATCATTGACCCATATCCGTCCCTGTACATATTCCCAAATCCGCAACAGATGTGGATTATCTGCTGATCTGCAGGATTAGATGATGCCATAGCCAATTTGTGAACAGCTAACCTGGCCATAAATGTGCCTCCTTCTTGTGTGATCACTTCATAGTCATGTTTGTGGTGCCCATTAGGTCGGGATAGGTTCTCGCTTGGTCGTGTCATGGTTGCCATTGAAGAAAGTTCGGCTGAGGACACAAGAGGAAAAGTCTGCAATATAGTCAGCAGCAGACTGCTCGATTGCACTGCAGAGCAAAAAGGTCTACCCACAGGATTATATGACTTCGTTCAAGGCTGTGTGGCTGGAATTTGACGACCAAGAAACCCTCCAAGACCGGATGCCAATCAAAATGCGACGTAGGAAAATCTCGAAGGTGGGATGTGACCGGAAAGGTTCGAAGAGGAGGAGACAGCTTTACGACTCTGGTTCCAGAGGGCAAGGAAGCGTCGCGCGTCTACAAAGCTGAAACCATCCCTGCATAACTCGGGAGATACCAGCCAGGAATGAAAGGCCAGGCTGATCATTGGATGGTACGGCTACGTTAGCGTGGGGGACTTTTGCAGTTCTTGCCGGACTTATTGGGTCTTAGATACTGTAGCCTCACGTTTGAGGAGGCTGGTTATCTTGAGGCCTGTGTGGAACTTCCGGGCGTTTACTGTACCACCCTGGTAGAAGCTGGTGTTGCTCCCCTCCTCTACATTTAGAAAAAGCTTGGACCATTTCTTCGGATTACATCGTGGAGCTCACATTTAAGAAACTGGACGTGAGTAGAGAATCGCGTAACTCTGATAGGAAATTGGTCGCCTCTTTTCGGGCTGTTAAAGATCAAAAACACTTGAGTTAGGTAGTCGCCTGTATTGTTGTGTTATCTTCTCGCCGTATACTACGCAGAAAAGTATACAGATAACCTGATATAAAAGTTCTCAACGACTCATTTTGCCAACTCCTAGGCAGCTCTCCTCTCCAAGATATACCGCATTATTCTAGCAATTTGATTCCAAAGCCTTAGACTAGCTAACTCTTTTTAGACGGAATGCAACCACTAGGCAATTTGACTGTCGAAGGTTCAATGTGTTCTATCGTCGAGTTTGTCCTCGATGAATGGGAGACTATTTTCTATGTAAAAAGGAGTGGAAATTCCTCCTTTGGTTGATCGCCGCATCAAAAGAGCGCCTGTGAAATAGGCCTAGGGAGTAAAATGAGCGTCTAAATGGGGTTGTAAAAGGAGCGACTTGAGCCTCATACTAGGTCTCGACTTGTACGTAACAATTGTTACAACCTGCACTTTGAATATGTTCCAACGCCGATCACATCATCCGTCATTTCGCCTCGTCCAGTGGACTTCTTTGCCTCATTCGGGTTGTATACTGTTTGTCAATGGTCAAGGTAGACCTTTGCGTCGAAGGGCTGCCGTGACACATCGTTGGAGGGGCGTATCGCAGTCAATCGTTTCGCCGTCTGCGAGAGGGAAAACTGAGCTTGACAAGATACTGGTGTTGCAGAGAGAGAGAGAGCGGGTCTGTGCCCGAGTTTTCGAAAAACTTTTGTCGTTCTTTGCCCCGAGATTGTCATCGCGATCAAGCTGGACGACTTGCCAGCTGCAAAAAGGCTTCAATCGGCTCAAATGTTTGATGAGCGGTGTCATCGTCCACTTGCAAAAGGATCGGAAGAGTTCACTGACTTTGAAGTTAGATCATCACATCTCAAACTTGTCTCCTAATCCCCACCTCAAGCTAAACAACAACTCCATCAAGCGATCTGGTGTGCTTCTAAGAAGAGGATGGGCAGAGGGATTGGGTTGATGTCGAGAGCGGCTGAAGACAACACTCTCATATAAGGGAAAGACACGAGTCACAACGAGTGGCCTTATGACTACTCTCATGTGTCAGTGAGTCGGGGATGAACCTATCCATGCACATAGTTGAAGTGATTGAATTGCAGCGGGAAGAAGCTATGAGACAACAGTGGTGTCTGAGACTCGCATTCATTTGTTCGCGTCGCTACCGAGGGTGCGACACGGAGTGAACCATGCTTCATCTGGCATACTTTAAAGCCGTGTTATAGGCATACACGGCCATCTAAACGTCCGCAATGTAATTAGGTTTTCTATGGTCAAAATCTGGCTCCTGTGTTCCTCTGGTTCCACGAGGTCTCGCGCTTCCGGTTTGGGGTATTCATTCCTCAAGATTATCGCACTGCATAGGAGTTGTTATTGGCACATCATTTCTACTGATGTCAAATTGGAGGCAGTTCAGCGATCGTGGAAACGGTCACGCGATCTGAATGAATCGATGAGCTGAAACAAAGAGAGCAGCGCAGCTCCCTATTCCGGTGTCAAGCAAGTGACATCTTGCACATCGTTATGAGCTTGGGTATACGTACTTTGCCCCTTTTAAGAGACGTGGGATTGCTTAGATAGAAATATTCAATATGTACTTTTCTAGTTGAGTTGGACACATCGTTCTGTTACTTGTATCTCGTAAAGTCGTGGTCTATTGTATTCCACAATCACCACCTCGTGGTGGGGACTTCCAGCCCATATCTTCTGATAAGATGTTTGAAGGGTTTTCATCGATGAACAACTGATAATCATCATTGAGCCCAGCTTCGTTTACTGGAGACATCTGCCTACCAGCAATACAGTCAAATTGGGCTTCCCCTTTGTGGCACTGATCCATTTCGAGTGATGCTTCCGGAAAGCTTGGCAAAACAATCGGTGGACAAGAACTTGTTCCGTACCGTGGAGAGTCAAGACTCTCGCCGTTTTTCCCTTGCGGATAATGGACCCTCTGAACTGGGCCTGCCATGCCTAGGTCAATCGATAGAAAGGAGAGAGATCGGCTCCTGTCACTTGGACAAGAGGAGGAAGAGTCGTGACGAACGTCTTCTGAGCCCGCAACCAATTCATGCTTGAGAAGATTAGATATCTGATTTTGCGGCGTGACAAGACAGCGGCTAGCGTGAAAGTAACTCGGACTGCGACCGCGAACAGTCACTGGATGAGACTCCTTTGTCGCGATGGTGACCCAACCCTCTCGATCCCTTGAAAGATTGGCAGAGACCTTAACCACAAGAGAAAACCGTTCCGGTTCTCTCAATCGTCCTTTAAATGATGCATTCTGGAAGTGAACTCTCTCGAAGGTGCAATTAATTGATGTTGAGGCAGTGCGTGAGTTCTCACAATAATCGTGAAGAGTGAAAACCTTTTGGCGAGGTACAATACTCCTGTTCTTGTGGCGAGTTGTAGTCGGATATTGCAGTAACGAAGCGCTATCGCCCCCTTTCTCTGTTTTGGCAAAAATAGACAATCCAAACTGGTGAATCGTGCCCTTGGAAGTAAAGAGGGAGCCTTCAGTGTCAATGAGTTCCCAACAGAAAGAGCAACAAATAGTGATATGATTCTGCTTGTAGCAAATCCACATATTCTTCTCATTGATAAAGCTCTTGCTTGTGACGGCGGTGAGTTCTGAGACAGACTGTTGATGTTTTCCATTTAGTATTGGAAGTAGTGCGGATGTGGGATAGAATGGCAATGCTTCGAAAGTGTGCGCCATTGTTGTCATCGTCCACGGGATCGGAAGTAAGCTGAGAGCGTAAACGAGATACTTTGAAATGGAACGACTATTTTGAGTCCGAAAAATCAAGA